TTTTCTGATGCATGGGTTGGAAAAATCGGTAGCTGGGAAGCAAGTCAAGCAGGGTAGATGATCAGGAAAGTCTAGAATGAAGGGCAAGCCAGAAAACGGATCAGAGGAAGGTGATGTAGAGCAGATGTCCAGAAGGAGAGAAGGAGGCAATTAGCAGCGAGTGAGGGCTGAGACAAGTTTCAGAGAGCTCAGGTAGCTAGGAAAGGGTTGGATCTCATGTCAGTAGGAAAGCAAAGGAGCAGCAGGTCATTAATGTAGGATTATTTAATGTCACTTTGACATCCCCAGCAAGTGATATGACATAAAGATTTTTTTAAAACAAATGAACGTTTAACTTCTATAACATCACAAGTTGGGAACTCTCCTGCTTTGTTTGTTTACTTCTAAGGGGGAGAATTGCAAGTTACAAAACCACATCTATTTCTTAAGCCTTTTCTTCAATGATGGAAATGTTTGAAGGATGTTACAGCAAAATGTTTTCGGCTTACTCCCAAAACTCTGAACTTTAACTCACTTTCCCCAACCAGATAGAAACACAGAAAACATGGATGAAAAAGGAAAAGAAGATTATCTTCTGGTGAGATAGCAGGTGGGGTTTTCGGCTTACTCCCAAAACTCTGAATTTTAACTCACTTTCCCCAACCAGAGAGAAATACAGAAAACATGGATGAAAAAGGAAAATAAGATTATCTTCTGGTGTGGTAGCAGGTGGATAAGAAAATATACTGTAAATGGTAAATCATAGTCACTTGAATTGAACTTAATTAGAATTGGTCAAAAATATTTAAGCAAAAAGGGGTTGTTTCCATCTCCAAATGAGATTTAAGAAAACACACACATATATCCTGTTGACTTCTTGATAATTCTTGCTTTTTGCAACATTTTTCATGCCATTTTAATTGAAATTACAATTGAAAAATATATACAATACTAGTGGTAGGATCTTTAGAATATTTTGCTTACTGAGAGCCTATTTTTCAGTAAATTAAAATTTGTCATAATTGTTTTGTTTTCTATAAAAGATTGAACAAAATTCATTACCATTTTTTTAAAAATTTATCCATTTAAAACCCAGAAAAAAGAAAACAACTTCAGCATCTGACTGGACCATTTGTGCTCACTATAGGAAAGCTTGATTGAAGTTGTAGTTCCATTGTTAGATAAAGTTTTCCCTCCCAGAAAAATGAGCAGGCAAAATGAAATCTTGGACCTGCTAATATATGTTATAAAATCTGGGTTGATATCCTGGCCCCACTGAAATGAACTGGAGTTTGCCATTGACTTCAGTGGAGCTAGGATTACACACTCCGGGTGCATCTACACAGCAGCATTATTTCGGAATAAGTGATGTTATTCCGAAATAATATAGTGCATGTCTACCCAGCAAGCCTTTATATTGAAATAATGTCAAGCTGAACTACTTCTTACTCTGACTCATGATAACCCTCATTTCACGAGGAGTACGGGAAGTTGAAGGAAGTGTTCTTCCTTTGACTTCCTGCTGTGTAGAAAGCGCCAAAAGCCGAATTAAGCTATTTTGACTTGAGCTATGCAATTGATGTAGCTGAAGTTGCATTCACTTTTCAAGCTTAATTTGACTTTAGCTCTGCTGTGTAGAAGTACCCTTAATGTTCAGTAGGTTGGAGAGGAGACACATAAGTTAAAATGGAAAAGAACAGACACAAAACAAAAGCAAAGATAAGACCAGCACTTTCTGAGTTCATCTTGGATTTTATCATTCTCCATCCTTGCTAAATTACTAGCCTGTTTACACCCATTCTTTCAGAATTTTCCAATAGTGCTTACTTAAAATCAAGGAAACTTGAAGAAACCCGAAACAAATCGGAGCCCAGCTCTCAAAACAAAGTTCAACAAGTTTCCAGCATTCAATGGGCAGTTCTTAGCATGACTCTGGTTAACTGATTTAATTGTTAAAGCACCAGTCCACAATGCATAACTTTAAATCTATTAGAGTCTCTTTCTAAAAGTAGACTAAGTCAGATGGTCCATGATCAAAACAGAGGTAATAATTAAGGAGCAGGAAAGAGGAACTGAGAACATGCATCCTTACACTTAAATTGCCATATGAAGCCATAGCATCCTCTCAAAGGGTATGTCTACACTACCCCCCTAGTTTGAACTACGGGGGGTAATGTAGTCATACGGAGTTGCAAATGAAGCCCGGGATTTGAATTTCCCAGGCTTCATTTGCATGAAGCCGGCCGGCGCCATTTTTAAATGCCGTATAGTTCGGACTCTGTGCCGCGCGACTACACGTGGCACGGACTAGCTAGTTCGGATTAGGCTAGTTCGATGTACAGCTAGTTCGGATTAGGAAGCCTAATCCGAACTAGCTAGTTCGTGCCACGTGTAGCCACGCGGCACGGAGTCTGAACTAGCCGGCATTTAAAAATGGCGCCGGCCAGCTTCATGCAAATGAAGCCCGGGAAATTCAAATCCCGGGCTTCATTTGCAACTCCGTATGACTACATTACCCCCCCTAGTTTGAACTAGGGGGGTAGTGTAGACATACCCATACAGACATACAACCTGACAGTGATCTCACATCACCATTGGCAAAGGGGTACAGCTCCTTTGGCTTCAGTGGATTTACTCCACACATGCATTAACTTTCAAGCAGTATTTCATCTCCACACGAGGAGAATCCAGTCCATTTTCTTTAAAAATCCTGGCCAGCTCATTCAACATAAAGCAGTAATTGTATCTCCATGGAACACAAACATAGGAGCCTGCACAAACACCTGCCCTGCTTTCCAAAATCATCTGCTTCTTGACAGAGTCTTTCACAACACATTGGCA